AAAAAAAAAAAAAAAGCCTCAGCTGAAGTAAATTACTAGAGGTACATTTCTGTCAATCTCTATCAGCTGAGGATGTGTATCCCGACACCTGGAGTCTGCAGCCTCTTGTGCTAGGCAAAAATCAGCTACCTAGGCAGATGCTTGGGTGTGCAAACTGGAATTAGAAATGGGGAATAAATTCTAAGCACATCGTTCTCCATTGCTGTATATATAAAATAAGTCTGTTATGCTCTATAGTGTGATTTTTAGTCCTGCTTTAGGTGTACAGTGTGAGAGAGACAGCCCAGCATCAGGGCAAGTGTGTTTCCACAGTCTTGGTTCACTGACTACCTAAGAGAATTGATTAGGGGGGATTTTATATTTCCGCATCCTGAACACTTCCATTTCCTTCTGCAAGAAAACAGAACAAGTGATGGAACAGTGCAGGCACTCACAATTTGTCTGCGGCACGGGCAGGATATTCCAAAACTAGCAAAGCTAGCAACAAAGCCTCAGTCCCCCACAAGCAGGCTGCGTAGTTCAGAGCAGAGAGCTGATGAAAGAGCTCAAGGACTAGAGGCCCAGGTGCTACTGATGAGGATCCATGTGGCCCACCTGGACCGCTGCTCCATCTGGCTCTGTCAGAAATCAGTTTGTCCTAATGATCTGAGAACTATAGGAAGTAGTAGTTTTCAGGATTCTTGCCAGTAATTCATTTTATCTTTTACTTTCTAACTCTTACCAATGCAGAAGAAATGTAATGACACATCACACTCTAATATTTTGTAAATTATATCTAATTTCTGCGGTACGATTTTGTAACCCAAGAGTTTCTTAGTAACGTTTCCCAAATTCTCAAGTATCACTATTTTCTGCAGACCACATAATAACATGATGGCAGAATGTTCTGAAAATCTACACATATATGTATGTCTGTGTCTTGCACTGCCAAGCCTTGTAGCTGTTGGGCAAAGTTTGGCAGACAGAGGGCTCTGGGATTAGTTAAAAAGGACATTTGCATATAGCTCTGTATTTATAAAAAGAAGAAAAGTGCCACTGGATTTTACCTTTGGAAAAAAAAAGGTATACAAATTTTTATATAAGCTGAGAAATTTAAACATTTTTCTCTCAAGTTAAAAGACAGATTAGAGTTTGATTTCTAGTCATACAGACTATTTTTATACTTATAATGACCTTTTTATGCACATGTTCAGATTTTTTTCTAATGACAGACTGTGCCAGTCTATGCTGCCTAGATTTGTGAAGTCTGAATTTGAACAAGAATTATTCTATTTCCCTGTTCAGTTATCCCCAGGCTGATTTTCACTGCTCAGTGATAGATCTGCCTTGCTTCAGGCTAAAGGTAACTTGAAATACAGTGGGCAGTCTGGGTTTGACTGCATATAGATACACATATAGTCACCTCCATTCAGGAGGAAAAACAAGAAAAAAGAAGTGAGCACAACTAGGGAGATATACCACAAGTACAGCAAAGTAAGGTAAATTATGATGCTGAAATTCAGAGTCTACTGAATCACGATCATATCTGAGCTACATTAAAGTCAGTTTGCCTTACGTGACCAAAAACTCCAGACCTCTGCTGAACCATTCCTACAGGACTCTGTAGCTTTATTCCAAGGGCTCTTGAGAGTCAGCAATTTCATTTGTTACAAAAATAAAATATTTTAAACCAATACACATAATCGTATCACTTGAGCAAATTGTCCCAGAACTCAAAAAGCATTCCTGATTGCCAATGCTCCTTTGTGAGGTAAATCCTTATGGAGGAATCACTTTTTTTTTCCTCTTAAAAGTTACCAGTTTCTGCCATTTAATCACTATTCACACAAAAATCCCTTCTCTCCCCTATTTTATTTTTCCTTTCTACTATTCAATTGCTTCAAAACTCTGAAAAGTATGTCATCTCCATCTTTGCTTCTAAAGGATCTTGTGGGCTTCTTATCAACTCCACTGAATTATACTTCTCAACATTACCAAGGCCTCCTTATCTCAATCAAGTCCTTCCTAGCACTTAGGCATATCTCTCACCTTTTTTTTTCCTTCTGGCTTTACGTGCTCATTTGTTTCCTGAGGTCTGAAATACTTTTCCTCATCTTGTCTTACTCTTTCAAATCATTAGTTTATTTCAAAATCTTGACCCTTTCTATAAAAGGTCTTACTGAAAAACACCTCAGCTTCAAGGTATTTAAGGGATTTCACCAGAACTAAATAATTGAATGAGAAATAGAAAATTTATTTTCATTCTCATAATATGAAGCAGCTGGAATG